AATTTGACACCCCTACATTTTTCTATCGATAAATTTAAAACATTAAAACCGAAAATTTTACAAAAAAAGAGATTGAAATAAACGTCCCCAAGTTTGTAAGAAAGTTGACAACTTGAAGAGTTGCGGAAAAATCTGTTAAGTTAACTATACCATCACGGTGGATAAAATGGCATCTAAGATCCTCGGGAGACAAAGGAACTTTGGAAATAAAGAAGACGTCTGTGTCTTGAGTAATAAATGTGATGTACTGTACCGTAATATCAAAGATTAAATCGTGAAGTTTGTAAAAGGAGTAGACACCAGAAAGAGGAGAATTGTATAAACATACTGGTGATTTTCTTCCGAGAGGGATAAGTTTATAAAGTCGAGAAGAGAAAAAGGGAGAGAAACGGGAGAGATCCTTTTTGTCCCCGTTGCTTAATCAAAAGGGTCAAGAGGAACGGATGATATTGTTGGAAGAATAGGAACGGGATCTGCTTCTCTCTCTGCCTTAGTGTCTGGAAATTTAAAGGAAATATTGTTTTAAAAGTTTCCTTACATTTTCAGGTTAATAAGGGTTTACGATGCTCTAGGGAAGTCGTATTATAATTAACAGAATATACACAATATAACGACTTTCGAATGAACTTTCGACGATGTACAACCACCGAACCTACCAAACGGTACATTAATTAATTCTTTCAAATCCGCGTGTACGTACCATGTTTTTCTCTTCTTCGTTCAATTAATCCGTAAAAAGTGGGTAAAATATACTTGTGGAAAATCGATAGAGTAACGAGATACGAAGCTTTGTCTTCTGAAAATTATTTAACAAGGGAAACGAGAAAGGATACGAAAATATAAAAAAAAATACCATACTAATCTTCTGAACAATACTGTAACGAGGATAATGAGTTTATCCATTGCTTTATTTTAAAATGGATTACTTGGTGAAATGTATTGTTTATCTCAGAAATATCCAGTTCTGTTTTTCCAGTAGATTCTATATAAACAGGTGCACGTTATTATTCTGTACGAATGGTGCACATTTTCATTAAATAGAGATAATTAGTTTGGAAAATTCGTGCTTATTATGTCGACCTGTACAAAAACGACAATTTCACGAGGTACAAGTTGAAACAGTACTGCACACTTTTGTAGTTAGGCACAATTTCGAACAATGGAATTACATAAGAATATTTCAACTACCAATTGGGAACAATGGAATTGCATAAGAATATTTTAACTACCAGTCGCGAACAATTAAATTATACGAGAATATTTCAATTACCAATTGCAAAAAATGGAATTGCATACGAGTTTTTCAAACACCAATTGCGCCAGAATATTTCAACTACCAATTGCAAAAAATGGAATTGCGCAAGGGTATTTCAACTACCAATTGCAAACAATGGAATTGCACACGAGTTTTGCAGCTACCAATTGCGAACAATGGAATTGCATAAGAATATTTTAACTACCAATTGCGAACAATGGAATTGCACAAGCATACTTCAACTACCATTTGCGAACAATGGAATTGCACAAGAATACTTCAACTGCCAATTGCGAACGATGGAATTGCATACGAATATTTCAACTACCAACTGCGAACAATTAAATTATACAAGAATAGTTCAATTATCAATCGCAAAGAATGGAATTGCGCAAGAATATCTCAACTACCAATTGCGAACAATGGAATTGCACAAGCATACTTCAACTACCATTTGCGAACAATGGAATTGCACAAGAATACTTCAACTGCCAATTGCGAATGATGGAATTGCATATGAATATTTCAACTACCAACTGCGAACAATGAAATTATACAAGAATAGTTCAATTACCAATCGCAAAAAACGGAATTGCACAAGAATATTTCAACTACCAATTGCGAACAATGGAATTGCACAAGCATACTTCAACTACCAATTGCGAACAATGGAATTGAATAAGAATACTTCAACTGTCAATTGCGAACGATGGAATTGCATAAGAGTATTTCAACTACCAACTGCGAACAATGAAATTATACAAGAATAGTTCAATTACCCATCGCAAAAAACGGAATTGCACAAGAATATTTCAACTACCACTTGCGAACAATGGAATTGCACAAGCATACTTCAACTACCAATTGCGAACAATGGAATTGCACAAGAATACTTCAACTGCCAATTGCGAATGATGGAATTGCATATGAATATTTCAACTACCAACTGCGAACAATGAAATTATACAAGAATAGTTCAATTACCAATCGCAAAAAACGGAATTGCACAAGAATATTTCAACTACCAATTGCGGATAATGGAATTGCACAAGAATATTTCAACTAGCAATTGCGAACAACAGAATTACTTAAGAATATTTCAACTACAAACGAAACACCTTGTGCAACAACAACCTCGGGAACAGCAAAAAATATGCAACATACCATTAACATCCATCAATTCCCAACTACCAGCCATTAACTCAGCACGGTGTGTACCGACTAAGGCAACGTCGAAGCTCATTTAAATACCCCCGTGACTCCGTCGAGTCGCCGTCATGAGCCTCTCTCAGGGTGACGCTGCGGCGTCGTAATGTTCATCCGCAGTTTCGCGAGAGAGGTAGCGGCCTCGCGAAAGCCGAGCCACGATAACGTAGTAATCTCGTTCATGGGGAGTTTTCAAGGAGCGGCTGATTTGAAATTATAATCAACGAAGAAGAAGCTCTGTCCATAAACCGTGGCCAGAATAACACAGGCCCGTCCTGATGTGGCTTCTCCTATACACCATCTCGAAATATTCCCTCACGGTGTTCATCCTTCCCTCCTTTCTCTCCCCCCCCCCCCTTTACACTTTACCGCCACCTTCGGAGTCAATTTCGACAAGATGGAAATTTTCGCGACGAGCCAGAGATTTCTCTGGCGCCGTTCAATTTTAACGGGGATTTATGGAGATAAACCGAAATAAGATTGAACGCCGCCGCCGCCGCCGTCGTCGTTCGCCGATTCGACGAGAGCCACCCTTACGGATATTTCACGCCGCTTACTCTATGCACACGCCCTCACTCCTACCCTAACTCTCCTTCTCGCTCCTCCGGACCGATTGAAATGCAACTTTGTAAACGGGCAATAGGGCGAATAAACGCGAATCCTCGGGGTGGATTCCGCGTGAGCTATTTTTTGGGTGTTCGTCGTGATCTGCTTTGAGGTTTGGTCGATTTATGGTGATTTTCTTCGGGATGAGAATTACTTTATGGTGCTTGAGGACTGTGGATCTCATAAATTAATTCGTTTGCTGTCTTGGAGCTAAGGTTCCTAATTTTCCCTCAGTCTGGAAACTGTCATTGGTCCTCCACGTTGTCCAAGATATTTGTGAACATTGAGATTGAGAGTTAGCTTTAAGCTATGTCGGGAGTCGGAGTGGCTAAAGTTTACATTTAACCCTTTCCACTCGGAGGTGATTTTGCTGTAGGAAAGGTTGCAAATCGGACCTTTGAAATTTTTTCAAACTAACGTAGAAACGAACTGTACTATCCGATGTATTCTCTATTTTACTGCGGTGAACAAATTTATGGAGAACCACAGATCTGCCTGATTAATTATTCACCGAGTGACAATTATTTAATGTCGCTTCTCAGTCGTCACTCGATTGCAAAGGGTTGAAAAGGGAAAGGCAGCAAAAATCAATACCGTTAATTATTCTTCGTTACTACTTTTTATCGCGAAGCAACGCAAGATCGCTATTTTAAAAGAATCCACTGATTAAAATTTTGTTTTTCTCCTGCAATCGCAGCTTCAAACTACGCCGGGAGTAAGAATAGCCCTTGATGGCGTCCAATTAAAGTTTACATTTAAAAACAAAGCAAAAGATAGCAAAAATCAATATCACTAATTATTCTTCGTTTCGAGTTTTTATCGTGAAATACCCAAACAAAGCCGCTGTTTAAAAGGAATGCACCGATTAAAACAAAAACAGATAATTAATACCATCGATTATTCTTCTTTTCCAGTTTTTGTCGAGAGATAACCGAACAATGCCGCTGTTTAAAAGGAATGCACCGATTAAAAACGAAATCCATATTATCAAAATTAAAATTTTCTCTTCCTCTCGCAATCTTTATTCTAAAATAACAAACCAAAATCCATATTATCAAAATTAAAATTTTCTCTTTCTCTCGCAATCTTCATTCTGAAATGTAACGAGAGAGATTCTCGCGGTTACCGATGACGAGTCGGGACTTCGGTAACGTCTTTTGTATGTGGCGTGAGCGATGCCCGCGCGTGCGGGTGCTCGTCTTTTGTCAGACAGTCTTGGTCCAGACCATGGTCGCGATGACACGAGCTTGTCTCTAGTATTAACAACTCAAAATAACAGAGCAAGGTCTGAAAAATTAAAGAAATAAAAAATCAACATCATCCATCATTCTTCTCTTCCAAATCTTCAATGCAAAATAATAAAACAGAAAAAATTGCAATTCCAAAAAAATCCACTAATCGAACTCTACTGTTATCGTACATCATTCAGAATTCCCTACTTTGCGCGAGGCAAAGACGAACGGACGTTGCGGCGGAGAAAAAGGCCGCGAGACTGAGGGACGCGGCGAAATGACGATCTCTGGAGAAATAGGGAGGAAAAGTTTCTTCGTGGAATTCACGTGTCTCCCCGAGGAGACATCTCGCGTAACGAGGATGCTGCCTGGCCTCTCAGGTCATTCGGTAATGAATTATTATTCCTGGGTCGTTTGTTGGCCGACGTGTGCCAGACAATGCGTTAAATTAAAGGAACCGACGAATCCGCGGGCACAAAGCAGCCGCGTATCCGCGACGAAGATGAAATAACATTAATTAAGCCAGACATCGTGGATAGATGAGAGAATACGGTAACAGGATCACGCGGACGGTTATTAAACCCGGTGTTTCCCGGGGTGTAATTAAATTAGGAAACAAGCAGTTTTGGAACTTGTTCACTTTCAGTCGGACTACGTTATCGCGCTTTGTTTCGAGGTTTAAGAGTGTTAAATGCCCGCGATTTATGCTAATTTTGGTTGAAAGGGTGACGGTGGAGTGATGTAAAAGAGTTGAGAAGAATGGAACACTCGAGTGTTGTTTTTTATTTTGATACTTTGCAGGGGGAAACGTGAGAAATATGCGTTATTCGATGGAGGTGGTTGTGAAGAGCGAAATGAGGGTATAGTCGGTGGAAGAAATATTGTGAAGTTGTAGGACTGGTTGTAAGTTTACGTAATCCTGAGAAAATGAGGGCTTCGTGAAGTATTCCTTAGCTTTGATTCAGTTTCAATTGAAAAACATAAAATGTCGACCTTGGGTGTGATTACTTAATGCTTTGATTAATATTTCTTCCACCGACTATACCTTCTTTATTTTCATTTTCTCCCTATCTTTGCATGTTCTATGCTCGAAACAAAGTCTCGTTCTCAAAGTCATCTTGAAAATCATTCCAAAGTTATCGACATTTTTCTTTAGTATTTAAGGTCACTTTAAGGTCACAATATCACGCTATATTTCTTCCACCGACTATACCTTACTCTTATTCTTTCTTTATCTTTCATATTTTTCTCAATTCTCTTGTTTAAACGCTCGAAACGAACTCTCGCTCTCAAAGTCATCTTGAAGGTCATTCAAAGGTCATCGACCTCATTTGTTCACCATTAAGATTACTTTAAGGTAATAGTGTCATAGTTCGTTGAACTCGTCTCGATGTAGGCTACAACGTTCCGTTACAAAGCAAAAAAAATGAAAACTCCCGTGAAAAATACAAGTTCGGGAAAGAAAAAAAAAAAAGAGGTGAAAGTCGATGTTAAGAAATTCGATCACACGGATTGCTAATCAAAAGGGAATCTTACGCGTCGTATACAGGCGGCGTCGATTTCTCCGTTCTCTGAAACGTTCAAAGGGAAAACGGGGCGGTGGTTCTTGGAGGAATTTCCGGTTGGCTCGTTTCACCCGCGAATTCACGAGCACCCTCGCTACTCGTGGCCTCTGATTGGCAATAAAGCACGATCGAGCCGGGTCAAGACATCGTTGAAGTGCAGAGGGTAAATGAAAAGCGTCTTTCCTTCTTGCCATAAGATCGGAGTCGTCGATTCTTAAGCATCGCCCTCCTTCAAACGCCTAATTGCCCCGCCCCCCGAGGCTGATGTTAAATTGTCAGCGCCTCTCTGCATTTCGCCGCGTTATCGTTCACGCAGGTATCGATTTTCCCTGCTAACTTTGGAATTGTTGAAAGATGGAAGGTAATAGTGAATTTTGCAACGTTATAAACAAAAATTTGGAATAAATTGTTTGGTTAGTATTAATATCGAATCTACTGATAATTTTCTCATCACTTTTGAATTAATACTATTTCATTTTGTTGAACGATGGAAGGTAATAGTGAATTTTGTAACGTTGTAAAGATAACAATTTGGAATAACTTGTTTGGTTAGTATTAATATCGAATTTTCTGCTAATTTTCTCGTCATGTTTGAATTAATAATAATTTACTTTGTTTTAATTAATTTGGAAGAGAATTATTTGGAAAGCTGGACAATACTGTTCCTGAATGCTTCTCATTAACAGATTTCGTTTGGATGTATAGTTTCAGGATATATTAAAATGATTTTCTCAATGGAAATTATTCAACCTTCCTTTAGAAAAAAACACTCTACTGACTCGATATTCATTTTTAATCTACTATCTTATCACCGAAGAACGAAATTAAAAGAACTACTGTACAAATTATCCAAAAAAAATTATCTAAAATTTTAATAATACCCAATATGTCACAAATTAAAAAGCAGTAAATTCCCTAAAAAAAAGGATCTCGAATTTTAATAATTTCCTGTTTCACCATAAAAATAACAATTCACTCTACACAAAGTAAAAAGCAGTAAATTGAGTAAAAAAAAGAAATGATCTCAAATTTTAATAATCTCCCATATTTCACCATAGAACGAAGCTCGAGTTCGTCCCATATTTTACTCCGCAAAAAATTGGGAAAAAGCAGTTTACTCGGCAGAAAAGTATTTCATTGGAATTTACAAAGGGAGCGAAGTAGCGACGTGGATAGAAACCACGTGGAGAGAACGAAGTATATTATAACAGAAAGTTCACAAAGTGGACGTGGGTGTGTATAGTGTCTATGGTTCGCCATTGTAGAGGCGAACGAACTTCTCGAACGTCGGAGGTGTGTGAATGAACCGTTCCGCGTTCAACCGCCTAGCTGCAAATGACAAGTGTTTAGGAAAGCGCGGCAGGGATCGAGTGGCTGTTTGGGATATGAGGTTCTGTTTCAGGTGAGATACGGGCTTGAATGGATTGTACGGATGGAGTGCACGTGGAGTTTCCGGCTGTAAGGAGACGCGTGGTGTGACGATGATAGCTTTAAGAGTACAGTGGAAACGTAGAATAAATTCGTTTCGCGGTTCGGGTTAGTTCTCGTGTACTGGAGGTATCCAGAATGTTTCCACGACAAAATGGAATGAAAAATTATCGTTATTATATTTCTCAACGTTAAAACTTTTATAATTCCTTTGTATTGGAATAATTTAGGATGGTACCATGATAAAATGGAACGAAAAATTATTATTTTTTTCAGTATTAAAGCTTCCATAATTCCCATTTACTGGAATAATTTAGGATGGTACCATGACGAAATGGAATGAAAAATTATCGTTATTATATTTCTCAACGTTAAAACTTTTATAATTCCCTTGCACTGGAATAATTTAGGACGGTACCATGATAAAATGGAGTGAAAAATTATAGTTATTATATTTTTCAATATTAAAGCTTTTTAGTATGTTAACGTGAAAAATGGAATAAAAAATTACTGTTATTATATTTTTCAGTATTAGAACTTCTAAATATTTTAAGGAGCTTCCATTTTTCCGTGTATTAAAATTCAAACGAACCGCCAAGAATTTTAACCCTTTCGTTGCGACAGATTTTAGTATGTGACGCATGTGGCAGATATTATGCGGTCGATGTTCGACTATGGCCGCAAAATCTTCTGTTTTGGCGTTTTCGAATTTTTAAAAATTTTTTAAAAATTACAACTTTTACATGGGACATTCTAGCTTATCATCGCTGATATCTTGATACAAACTTTTTGTGTTTATTTTCCGTCGGTTCAGTTTTCCAGGAATAAACCGCATTGTGACAATGATTCACGTCGGAATCGCGTAATTACACGCAACGGGGACAATCATCAAGGGGCTCTAGAAGGCAATCGTGTGCCACGTCAGGCTGGAGGCCACGTCAATATGCTGATGAGGATTTAGTTCCACGATTACGCTTCTCTGCTCCCTGGCCATTATCGTCACCACGAGGGATCGCTGTCACTTGGATGAAACTAAGATGACACTTTAAATGTTTCGGTCATTCCACGTCAATTCGGATTTCATTTTTAACCCAGAACTTATTGGATGAAAAACATGGCAAATTTGATGTTCGAATAATAGATTACAGTGGCAGAAATTCAGACGAAATCTTTACCTCTTCGGGGGCTCGTTGAAATATTGAAATTTCAAAATTTTGAATAGTCAAACTTTCAAATATTTAAAATAGTCAAAGTTTCAAATATTTAAATA